AGCCTGAAGTCTATAGCTCTGATTTGAATTTAATGCAGTTAAAAGTATGGCTGTAGGAAGTGCAGCAATTCACTTCATCCTTCAAGACAGTTGTCGTGTTGACATTGTGAAATATTAACATTAAACAATGACTATGATAATTACTTAATCCCTGTAAAATCCTTGCTGCCTGATCTTATCTTAAAGGCTAAACATGCTTCTGTTGTTTGTGCGTAGGGGAATGTGCACAGGGGTCTTTTAGGGATGTTTGTGTTATTGTGTGCCTCTGCAACCTTAATTTACCTATGACACCATCTATCTGTTTGTTCACATAGACATCTGTGCTTCTGCTTTTGCAGAAGTGATAGTCCAGCTCAATTAAGACTTAAGCAATACTTTGCTTGTCACACACAGATCATGCGGAATCAATTGGAAAAACAACTCCAAAGGTGACATATGGAAAACTTCCACCAGGTGGCCTTTACTTTGTCAAATCCAAAATTGTGCCATATGAAAAGATATGCATATGAATCTGTAGGAAATACATTTGATGTCTTATACTGTATGTGCATCTCTCCACCCACGCGATACCAGCATCTGACTCAGTTTTGCAGAGGTCAAAGAGGCTCTTTCTCCCAGTCCCCTGCCTCGCGTCTCTCTTACTCTAACAAAAGCACACAGAGAAACACACACATGTACTTAGTGTATATGTGCATGAATACAGTGGTTGCTCTTAAGTGCTAAAAGGTAGGTGAGTCACCCTGCGCTGAGGCAATTAAAATCTCTGTCACAGCACAATGTCATCCCCGCAGACACTGACACTGAGTTGTGCGCCTTCAAAGATCAACATTTCTCTTGAAAACATGCTGAGGGGTTACTTCTGGAGTCTGTTTGAGCCTGTTTGTGAGCAGTGAGGGAGATGACAGATAACTGGTAATCAGCATGTGCATGAGTTTATGTGCACACACATGCTCACTAGTCATATACATCAAACAAACACTCTCCCTTCAAGCCAGTTCCAGCTATGTTTTCTTTGTTGTGCAGTGAGAGAGACTCTTAGGTTTTGTGGGAATTTTGCAAATATTACTTCGGTACTCCTTGTTATCCTTCTGCTATGAGGTTATGTGAATGTTTGTAGATTTTTTTATGAATGAAACGGTAGCATCTTCAACTTCTTTGATGGAACTCAGGTATCTGTTTAAGGAGTTCTTACATACTGAAAAGATGTGTCACAGTCTCACAGAACTTGAGTCCTTCAGGGTTCTTGTCAGCGAGATTTGTGAAACACTCGGTACTGCTTTATGAATAGATTTAAGGGACTATATTTTACCAGGTGTTACCGTGGTTACCAAGTGATCTCGTACGCAGCTTATACATTTTGTTTTTAAGATCACTTCCTTGAAAAATGCACTGCATCAGAGTTCAACTAACAGCTTCCACTCCAGTCTAAAGGCAATGAACCAGATGTTCGAATACACCAGCATTCGTCTGAATTAAACCATCAAAAGACCATCAAAATCTGGACATGACCGGTGTGGATGCTTTAAGAAGACTTAGCACGAAAACTTGACTCACCACTATCCTTAATGGAGAAGGAGGAGGACACAAGCCTTGTGTTTCTCACTTAGCTTATCTTGTTTAGCATGTCGCGCTATGATGCAACAAATAAAAATCATCTCTCCATTGACATTTCTGTCAGTCTGCCACTGTTTCAACAGGGCAAATAGAATAAGTTAATTAGTATGTCTAATTGCATTTGGTAGCTCAGCTTTTGGAATATCAAATCAAATTAGGATTCTCAGTGTTCTTTTTCATGGCACACGGTTTGCCTTAAGCTATGCTTTTTAGGATCTGTCTTTTGTCTTTGTCTCTATCTTTTTCAGCATCCCTTCCAGCTGTACTACGCCTTCGCTTTGTAGTCTACCCTCCTCTCTCTCATCATCCGCCCACACTTTCTTTTTCTTTTCTTTCCATTTTTGGATCAGATTCTCTCTCTTAATTTGCTTTTTTTCACTTTTGCTTCCTCATCTCCCAACTTTCCAGCCCCATCTTTTCATAACAACTCTGTAACATCTAAAAGTTATGCCATTGAAATATAACTGCAAAAGGCCCTATAAATAGGACAAAATAAAGCTGTTAATCCTATAAAGCAGCTAGTTAATATAACTGCATTTTTTTCCTGATGAACAGCTTTTTAAAAGTCATTTTCAGTTTTTTATCATGAATAAAAGCGTGCTGATAGATTTTCTGACCCAAATCACTTTCACATCCCCACTTGTCCTTATGTTTGTCCTGCAAAAAAAACATAAGGCGGCCTGTCACTCTTTGAGTTGGTCTCTGTTCTGTCAGAAGCTATCCCTGAGATAAGTGTAACAGATAGCTGGAGGCCCAGGCAGAGTGGCAGTGTATAATTGAGTGATAGGGACTAATGTAAGTGAATGGCTTAGGGCCGACTGTGATGCACAGCAGCAGCAGAAGCTCAGGCACAGAGGGAAGCTTTCTGTTAGGTCCTTGGTAATACTAGCAACAACAGCCACCCAGATTACAATCTGGTGACTACCTGGCTGTGCTTTGTGAGCGTGTGTGTGTGTGTGTTTCAGTGTGTATATGTGGCTCAGGCTATCTTCGTTTTGTCTTCTTTCCAGTCTGTTCGCCACTCCGCTTCCATTTTTTCTCTTTCCACACACGTTTTTCTCGTCTCGCTCTCTCTCTTTTCATCTGCCCTATATCACTACCACGTGTCCCCCCCCCCCCCCCCCCCCCCCCCCCCCCCCCCCCCCCCCCGACTTATCTTAGCTCTTTAATTAACGCGACATGCTGTGAAGTGAGATACTAAATAATGCAGGCTTTTCCAGTGACACCGAATCAGCTGGAGTGATTAGTGGCCACACACAACACACAGAGACACACACACACATTCTCACACACACACACACCAAAACAGATGCTCTTCTTATCAGTGATCTACCTTTACCCATATTCGTTTTGCAGTAAATTGGACCTAATTGGACAAATATGAATATGAGTACTCTGTTGAGAGTAGAGTCTATTAATAAATCTGTTTTTGAAAATCTAAAATGAAGAATAAATCTGGGAATGACCTGGTAACTACATTGGGAAATTAAACTCATATGTAGCATTCAAAGAAAATACTTCCCTTTCTTGTCTGTATGTACGCAAGCTTCCTAAATTTTATGCCCTTTCATACTGTAGTACTGAGTTCCCACATCTACTGTAGTAATGTAAATCAGTGCAGAGGACTTAATTTGTGCACAGATAGATCTAGGTTATCCAAAAGCAATTGTTTTGGACCAGACCAAGTGGAAAATCCAGTGTGGGTTTAGTTGTTTGCTGCCTTGGCTGCAGGGATGCTAAGAGCTCTGGGTTCCAGTGTTCTTCCACCCCACCCCCCTTGTCTTTTTTTAATCAGATGGCTTGTTCAGGAGTGGAGGGGATTAAGACTGCTGCTGCTGCCGCTGCTGATGAATCTGTCCAGTTTTGGAAAGCACACAAACACATGCACAAACCCGCTCACATGTGCACGCAACACAGGACCACACAGCTGCAAAGCATGCACACACGCATAGGCTATATGGAAACAGTTGAGTACTGCTACATGCAGCCAATGTTAATATACACAGGAATGCACACACAGAGGCATCAACATATGCATGAACAAGCCAGTATGCATGCATATGCTGCACAGTGAAGACCCAGATATCTCTCTCCTGTGCCTCTGCTCACTTTCAGTGTCTCTCATTCAACACTGTCAGTTTCTGGACAGCAGCAGTGATCTGCCATGTCTCATTGTGTCATGTGATTTGAGCTGTGAGATTTCTGACACACAGACTGACGCCTGTCTCTTCTAATGCCAAACGCTCACACCAGGCGCTGCAGATGGCAGGGAGACAGACAGACAGACAGAAGGACAGAGGGAGTGAAAGGACAAAAAAAAATCTGACTGATAAAATGGAGAAAGAGAGAAAGACGCCAGAGAGACGGTGATAGGAAATGACAGGAAAGGAAAGGGAAAGTTGAGTCAAAGGAAGGGGATACGAGGATTTGAGGAATGAATGATTAGGAAACTGAAAACTGCAGGAAAAAAGTGCAAGAGCAAACGCAGGAAAAGACCAGACAAAGACACACAATCTAAGAAAGGAAGTGAGCTAAAGATGAAAGGATAGAGACACTGAGCTGTATGATCCAACACTTTGTGCAACATAGCCAACAGATAACACCAGTCAGTCTCCTCCCTCTTTAATCTCCCCATCATCCATCAATCCCTTGCTCTATCCTTCCACCCCTCCATCTTAAAGCCATTCATTCCTTTTCATCAATCTGAAATCATGCCGTTTTGACGTACATTTGGAAGAAATCCGGTATTGAAGCGTGGCCTGCTTTGTAGATTGTGTAACGGGTAAAAAAACTAAACCAGAAAAACCGAGATGCTTGCTTACTTGGGAGATAATAACTGAACTTCTGAAGAGGCTGATGTTTTAATGCTAAATGTTTGCCATAAGTTGAAATTCATCAGCTACTTTGTGAACTCTCTCACACATACGCACACAGACACACACACACACACACACACACACGGT